GTTGCCAATTGCTCAGCCCTGACCACCAGATTAGGACTCCAACATACCAACATGAAATGTTATATGTTATAGTAGGTGCACGCGCGCACTTGAACGGTCAGTCACGAGGACATAGAGTTTTCATACCTTGAAAATTTTTGGCTTAAATCAGTTTCAATTTTGTGATTAAGACAAGTGTCTACAAACCTAGCTACTTTCGTTCATCTTTGGGTTATTATCGCCTCTTCTGGGTGTTTCTTCCCTATTAGAATGGTATTTCATAGCCTCCTTCACATTGGAGAATTTTTCTCCATTCTGAAGATAGTTGGATATCTTGAACTAGATCAGGTGTGTTTGTGTTTTAGACGTTAGTGTGTCATCAGAAGATGAAGGCGTTGGTATTACATTTTACTCTTCTCCTTTCCGTTTCCATGCCCATAGGTATGTGGTCAGAATAGATAGTGAGATTCTTACACTGAATTAAGTGTTACTGGCTACTTTGTTTACTTTGTCGTTTTGATCGTGTCTGACAGCACTTGCAAAAATGATGCGCTTATTCGCGATACATTCGCTATGCCATGTAATTAAGTGAGCGGAACTTACCCAATGAAAGAAAGAAAAGGAAGAGAGAGAAAAAGGTTTTGGTTAATTAACCCACAACTATGGGTCGTAAGCAAATGTTTTTCTTGTGTGAAATGCTTATTTAAAGAGACTTATTTAAAGAGACTTATTTAGACTTATTTATTTGCTTATTTAAAATGCTTATTTAAAGAGACCAGCCTTTACGCTCGAGCTCTTTCAAACAAACCTTTTCCCTGTAAAAAGTGTACTCACTTTTGGGCGAGGCTTACATTCGATTTTAAAAAGCCGACGTCCACATGTCTCCAAGATTGGTATTGTAAAGAACCAGGCTCTCATTTAAAATTTCGGCTTAAAGAGTTGGGGGGAGGCGGCTTATTGGAAGGAGGGCGCATTAGTTATTATCCTGTGCTGATTCCGCTGTAGTTAAAGCTAAAGGGGCGCTTGTCGGACATTACGGCCTTTGGGGCAGGTGCTTGTTCGGGGAGGGGCCTTACTACAGAGTGTACGTTTCTTCAAGGAAATACACGTGAAAACGTCTTAAGTTTAATCTTCGTTATGTCTAAATTGCAATAGGTTTCTGTCAAGGTGAAATTGTGTCAGTCCATTATCATGCCTCTGGAGTGGTTTTAAATCACAACTTCACAAAAGATTTCTTTCTGGAAGATCAGAGAGTTTGCAGGCCATGCAACACTCTTGCTAATGATATCAAGACTGGAGTGAGTAATTTTTATCCGTATCAAAACTGTGAAATTTTGTCCTGTTAAGGTTTAAATACTTCTCCTATTATTCCCATCGATCCACCAATTATTTATCTCTTCTTTAACTCTTTAGTTTTGGAAAATGTTTGACTTTTTTGTCAAAGCCAACCTCTTCGGAGATTCGTCCTTACTAAATAAGGCTTCAGAGGGCGTTTTCTTCAGGTAGGGAGAAAGACCACAATCAGTGCAATGCAATCGTTTGTTTTCATGTTTGTTTACTTGTTGTTGTTGTTGTTGTCTGTTCGATTTCATGTTTTTTTTTGCTTCTTTTTTTCCTTCTTTGCTGGAAATCTGTCTCTCTTCTGTGTTCAGCGCATGCGTTTGAGCTACACAACGGTTGGTCTACACTAAAACATTCAGACTACAGTCTCCAAGTTTGTCAGTTAGCGCGATCTATTAATTTTTTGCGTTCGTAAACTTTCTTGTGGCCTTTCTTTGTTCTTCAGACCTCCATCAGTTGGTGGACCCGATATCAACGGAACATAAGCAACTAAATTTCCCCCTAAAGCAGAAAAAGAGTAAAGGTAAGCAATGATTACCCCTGGATGAGTACATCAGGAATCTCTCTCGTTCAGTCTTTTTTTATATATTTTTG